TATAATAACATTGTAATAACATTGAAAACCATGTTTTTATTTAAACTAAATAATTTAAGTACATACCTTTTTTCTGTTTTGGGATTATTTAAATCTTATCCTCTATCTTCATGCAAACACAATCTGGAAACAGTAGAATGGAATACTCCAATGATCAGTCAGGAACAGACATACTGTCAATTTATTTTTATATAAACAGGGAGAAAGTGGGGTACCTCAATTGTGTTGAAATTAGTTCTATTTTCTTGTGAATAAATTCTAAATAACACTTCACTAGTCAAGAAGAAGGCGTTAACATATTGGCTTGTTGCATTTCGCAGCATCTATTTAAAAAAATTTATTTTACCCAACTCTCTAAATTATTTTATGTAAACTCTCTAATGCTCTATTATTCTTAAACCAGCCTCATTTATCTGTCATTTTATTTACAAAAATTATTGTTGATCCAGCTTATTATGCACATTTAAAGATTCATAAACTAAAACGCGATTATTATACATAAAATTTGTCTTTCAGAAAACATTTCATCGAAGACAGGGACACGGCTTTCAAATTCCATCCATGGCAAACCAGTTCGGTCTTAGGTAAATTCCAAAAGGTATATATCTTATTTTATTTATGTTCAACCCCTTCATTATTATTTCAACCCCTTCATTATTATTTATTTATATTCAACCCCTTTCTTACTCACAGTGGCTTCACACTTAAACCACTTATTTTCGAAATTTTTCTCAATTCTATAAATCTTATAAACAGTAAGATCAGAGTTGTGGTTTAGCTTAGGGGATAGAGTGCTCGCCTTTTAATGAGAACCAGGTGCAAATCCCAGCGATGGCTGGTCGATACGAATAACTCACGCGGCTCGCACCGACCACAGTGCTGACGTTAATTATCCTCAGTGGTAGACTAATAATGGGTTAGAGTTCCTTTGTCGTCAGGCTAACCGTGGGAGGTTTTCATAATTTTCCTCTTCATGCAACGCAAATGCGGGGTTAGTTCCATCAAAAAGTTCTCCACGAAGGTAAATTTCTCCCGATACTTGATCCAGAAGTTCCCTTATCTTCTGGATTGGGTTGAAAATTACAAGGCTACGTTGGTGAACATTAAACCTAAAATTGGTCCTGCTGTTCAAAGACGGTTATAAAATATAACAGTTAGATGGCTTAATTTTGAAAGGAATAGAGATGAACGAAATCCTTTATTTTGCTACATGGTATATGCGAGGGAGTGAGATGCCATTGCTGATGCAAAAGCATTGGCATCTAGGGATTAATATGGTGTGCAATTATTTCCGAAATATGCGTAGAAAACATTAAAATTTAGGTAACTAATAGTGCTGACGTAAACTATGCTTAATGGTAGACGGATAATGGGTTAGAGCTCCTCGCCATCAGGTAAACCGTGGAAGGTTTTAGTAATTTTAATTTCTGAGTTACGCGAATGCTTGTTAGTTCCATCAGTTCAGCTTGTTAGTTTGTCCCAAAATTTGGTACAACACTTCTCTTATTCTTCTGGTTTGGATTCAAAATTACAAGGCTACGTAGTTGGAAACTGATACTCGCAAGACCGAAATGAATAGGTTTCTCAACACCAGTTATAAAATAATAATAATAAAAATAAATAAATGGAATAAAAATATGTTTATTGAACAATATTTCAGACAATACACCTGGGTCTTCCTGAAAGAGCAATTCATCATCTTCATGACACTGGAGCCGCCACAGAGATTTTAAGGTTTGCTAAAAATGTAAGTCAATTCGATAACAACTAATATCATATTTTCGGAAGAATGCAATATTTATTTATTTATCGTTTCTATTATTTTTTTCTCAGGTTGAAAGCTGTGAAAAAATTAGAAAAGTTACGAGTCATTTGTTTGGACTGCTGGGAATAAATATATACAATGTGAGTTCTTAACTGAAAACAAGCACATTAACTCTTTGACACAGAATTTTTATTAAACGTATTTTTCATATTTTCTTTTCATTATTTTATATTAATTTAGGTCAAAACAAATGGAAATTTAGCATTTTAATAATTTATGTTTATGAAATACAGCATGAAACAGCGTTGGCTTTTTCAATGCTAAAGGTAAAATCTCCCAAACACGGGTCATTTCCAAGGAATAATGTTTCAAATTTGCAGTTATTTAGATCGAATAGACCTAGATATTCATCATTGAAATTTCTTTAATTTATGGATAAATTTTTGATTTTGAATGAAAAAATATTATTTCTCAAAAAACTTTTTTTTTTAGAATTTTTATTTTAGTACAAATATAATCTCGTTAATCTAGCAGATTTGTGAACTGTTTTTTTATAATTAAAAACTGTTTTTAATTATAAAAAACTATTGAACTGTTTTTTATAATTAAAGAATACCAAAATATATTTTGCTTGTAATTAGAGGGTCGGAAAAAATATTTATGAAAGGGACATCGGCGAGCCATTTGCGTCAAAGGGTTAAGACTGCAGTGTAATAATGTAGGGGTACAAGATTAATAAAATTTGTATCTTAAGAAGAATTAGAAGACTGTTTTATGCTGAAGACAAATAAAATGTTTTAACTTTTGCTTTCTTTTTGCAATAAAAAAGTATTAAAAAAAAGACTTTTGCATCGAAATATGCCACTAGAAGGGGTATATTTATTACAAACTAATATTTAGTGGTCGTAATGTACTGTAAAGAAAAAGAAATATGGCAGTCCATTTACTTTGAACTAACACAAACAAGCAAAAGTTTTCTTTTTATAAATATTTTTTCTGACACTCTAACTACAAGCAAAAATAGATTTTGGTATTTTTTAATTATAAAAACAATCTAATAGTTTATAAAGAAATCTATTAAATTATCGGAATTATATTTATACTAAAATTTAAAATCCCCCCAAAAAAAGCATTCTGAATAAATTTTTTTCCATCCATGTTCAGAAATGTATTAATAATTGATTTTGTAAGTTAAAGAAATTTCAATGATGAATGTCTGTTGAATAATCTAGATCAGTGGTTCCCAACCTGGGGGCGATAATCCTTAGGGGGGCGATCAGGGGGCGACGAGTATTCAAAAGATAAAAATTGCTAATAATATTAATAATAAAAGCTATTTGAGATTGAAATTGAAAATATATATGAAACCTATCGTTCTGGTGTAGACAAAGAATTATGATAGTTAAAAATTAAAAAAAATTTCAAGTGCAGGATCGTTTTCGTCATACGTTTTGGTATCACAGGCGGAAATCTGATATGCCACTATGTTCCTCTGAGCAATAATTCTGTTTCCAGGCGTATTGATGAGATGGGCGCCGACGTTGAATCAAAACTCATCAAATTTCTGAAAGAAGGTAGATTTGCTTTACAGATTGATGAATCAACTGTGATAGATAACAAAGCTGTTTTAGCTTACGTGAGATTCATAAATGAGAGTAAGGAGATTAACGAGGAAATGTTGTTCACAAGAACTTTGAACATAGATACAAAAGGATCGTCGATTTTTAAATTGGTCAGAGATTATTTTGAGGTAAAAGAAATTCCCCTCACAAATGTAAGTGCTTGTGCAACAGATGGTGCTACAACCATGTGTGGTTGTCATACTGGGTTTCTGGGTCACCTTAAAAAAGAAGTACCGGAAGTTATCTCACCATTCATTATGTCATTCATTGTCAACTTTTGTCTGCGAAAAATTGGTTATTTCTGGCATCAATAAAATAAAAGCTAATTATCTTAATAACCGTTTGTTCCGAGAACTTTGCCATGAAAATGATGAAGATTTCGAATTCCTGCTCCTACATACAGCTGTGAGATGGCTTTCAAAAGGAAACTAAGCCGTTTCTACGAATTGCTGGATTCGATTACTGAGTTTCTCGACACCACTGATCCTGTTTTAAGTGAGAGTTTGAATCAACGCAAGTTGGAAACTGCTTACCTCACTCAGTTTTGAAAAAATGAAGGAAATCAACGTAAAACTTGAGGGAAATAAAATGAACATTATCAAGACTTATCTTCATTCATCGCCAAGTTTGATATCTACAAGTCAAGCATTGGTCGCAAATAGCTAATGCAATTTCCAACTCTTAAAAAGTGTTCAATGGCAGATATCGAGATTCTCGAAAATAAAATCTTAATTTTTACTGATCACCTTGATCAGTTATGGAATCAAGATTTAAAGACTTGAGGAAATTAGAAATTCCGGATTGAATTTTCGATCCTTTCTCTTTTGAAGTAGTGGATAAGCTCACTTCCTCTTTGTAGACTGAGTTTTCAGATTTGAAGTATGACTGTGAGGCTTAAGACGTCTTTAAAAAATACGGTTTCGAGTTAGCTTGGGTAAAGCTTATGGACACTTATCCACAATTGTGGAAACAAACTGAGCCGCTTCTCATCTCGTTCCCGTCAACATATTTAGTNCTTTAACTTTAAATACACCAAGCACAGGGCAGTCATTGAAGTGGTAAAATGTACTTTCTCCCTCTTCATTTTTTTCCTCAAATTTTAGTTGTAACGTTTTAACTTTTTCTTGATTACATTAAAATATGAATTTTAAAAAAATGTACTTTTGTTTTGATTATTCCGTTTTAAATATCATTTCTTTTTGAAAAAAAAAAGATGCACAATTTTTTTTAATTAATAAAAATGACAATAAATGTGCCTCCTTATTTGCATTACAATTTAAATTAAATTCAAATAGCATAGGATATTTTCAGTGTTTGGTTGCTCGCAAGCAATAATGAATGATTTTTTGAGCAAAAAAGAGAAAGGGGCGATATGTGTCAGCCAACCCCAAGAGGGGGGCGATGGTCCACAAAAGGTTGGGAACCACTGATCTAGATCTAAATAACTGCAAATAATTGCAATTTTGAAAAACTATTGTTTGAAAGACTTATTTTTAACGCAGAAATAGACATTGGTGTTTCATGCCATATTTTATAAACATACATTATTATTTATTTTTTTTCGTCCTATGCCTGTTCTAGCAGGGGGTGCGATTGTTCCTGTTTTTTAGTGGCGCCATCTATGGCCAGGAATTCGACTTCTGCCTCGCCATTCACACAACCACAACCCGTTTATAGGGCGGGTCACATTCACACACAAAGGAGAAAGGGCATAGAACACACAGAGAGAGAAAGAAACATCCATGCCTTGCCCGGGATTCGAACGAAGGACCTTTCCAATGCAAGAACAGTTCCCTGCCCCCAACACAGGCCGGTCGGCAACATACATTATTAAAATGCTAAATATAATAATTTTCAGTTTTTTACCTAAATTAATACAAAATAGTGAAAAAAATATTAGTTCTGCTTGAATGGGTTAGAAGACGAGCATTTGGTTATTTATTATAGCTCATTACTTTTTACCTAAGGTCTTCCTAAGAGATACTTATAAGATTATTTTCGTTTTATTCATCAATTGTCATTGTAATTTGAGGATTTCAGAAATTTCTATGGTATTTCGAAACCTTATGGACAAAAAAATTTAACAGTGGAAAACTGTAAATTAACGAATGTGATCAAGATTTTAAGCAGAATTTTTGCAGATTTCTCCATCCGTTGCTTTTCTGGTTCAAAATGAAAAATGTCTGATAATTAGTTATTGAATAGTTGATAAATATCTTTTGGATTTATTATATCTTTCTGACGAAACTCTCGGTCGTAAAATAATCTCAATCATTGTGTCGCAGCAAGCTAAAAATGAATAAATGATAATAATGAATAAATATTATGATATTAATTAACTTAAATCAATATAAAATTTAATAAGAATTTTCGCTTTTTTTTTTTTAGGTTTCCCGTAAAAACAAGACTCTAGGAAATCGAAAACAACGTCTTTCTTGGTAAGTGATTGAATGAATGTTTGTTTAGAGTAGAAGTTCCACTCCTTTCTGTCTGTGACACGAAATCTGCCATAAAGTAAGACACTATTCTGAAACGAGCATTATTTTAGGGTTTCTATAAGCTTTAAAAAAACTTAATAGCAAAGAGTAGGTGATAACCTAAATCATCTTTGACTACCACTAAATGTTATTTGTTGTTACTAATGCCTCTTGCCATTACCAGCAAGCTTGCTATGGGAAGCAGCGATTTTAAGCGATCAGAGGGTGATTTTCTGGTTTTTCAGTGGCGCCCCATCTATGGCTAAGAATACGACTTCAGCCACACGCACGTCACAGCCCGATTTACAGGGAGGACCCAATCATACTTTATTCATTCATCCACATATTGTAACTTTGATTTGAAAAATTAATCTCCAATTCAGTATTACTAGAGGTATTGATTTGTTATGGGAACTTGGAAGAATTAGTGACCCAGATAGATTTAGCGCTCACCAGTCACTATTTAATACGCGAGAGTTCGTAAGCCTGCTGGATTCGAGCGTATGAACATGAGCCTAACGTCCTACCAACCAGGGTATCCCGGCCAATGTTATATTATAACGTATTCGTATGAAAGCTTTGTTCTGCCAGACCCTATGACGTTCAAGCAGTATCTATAAAGTGAAACAGTCGTTAAAGAGACTGTTGTTGTAAGGGTCTGAGGTTCGATCCTCAGTGGCGGCTTAAAGCCCACCAATCGATGGGAGCCATCTTGTTTGGGAACTAAGGATACCTTGAGCGCAATTTTGACCAAATTGCCGTAATCATAGCTGTTGGTCACGAAATAGTGGCGTCCTACCTATTATGATTCCTCTATCATACAACAGGTTGTTTCGAAGAAGCTTTACTTATTTATTTATCAAAAAAAACTTCCTAATAACATTAACATGAATTTAATACACCTATAGAATTTTTCTAGGAACTGCGTTTTCAGAATATTTATTAAATATCGACATCCTTATTAATGTAAATTTACTACCCTTCTACAGTGTATTTATTAGACATTCATCATGTCAATGTTTGGACCGACCGTACTGTGTAGTGGTCAGGGAACTAACCTCACATCAGAAACGTCCTGGGTTTGAATCCCGAACCAAGTATGGATGTTCATATCATTCTCTGTACTATCTGTTCTTACTGTGGGAGAAACATCGGCCCATTTAATATGGTGTCCCTGAAAGTGTGGCCAACACATCTGCCCTTCTGATACCTAAGTAACAAGTGTCAATCGGGTGGGCATTGGAAAAAAATGTCAATGTTTGGGTTTTCAAATGGTTAGTTAGGATAAAAGTTAACTATAAAATAGAAGTGTGCGTTTAATTATTTTAATCTACAAAATATAATACTATTTACAGAAATTAAACCTTTTCTTATAGGACAGTCGTCAAGCCGATTAAAGCCGAGGTTATGAGATTAACGAACCTTTTCAGACCAGAGATAAGCATTCGTCAAATATGGACATACATCTGCAATTACGACCAGAAAGCATTTAAAATATGGAGAATAACGTTTCTCAAGACTACTGAAAACTTTACACACTTTAGTTTTATGAGGTTTTACAACAATATACTTAAATTTGTAATATTTATGAAGGAAGTGAATATTACAATACGCATATTTCTAAATTTAGCTGCGATTTAAAAAAATTTTGTTAACCATGTATGTTTAAAATATGCATGGTCTGAAGGAGTTAAGAGGTAACAATTAATTCTTTAATGTACAGTCGGCAAAAAAAAAAAGATAT